CTGAAATTTAGATAGGTATTTGATATTTCCTTCTGCAGCTAGATAACCACAATTTGTGAGATCTTTAAAAACATTTTAATATTGCTTCCATCATACATTTGCCATTACATAGAAACAGTAATTGGGAAGCATCCAAATCCAGTTGTCACCAGACAAAAACTTAAATTTCAGAGTGGGGTTTTTTTAATCTAAAAATCTGAAATTAGTTTTAATTTTTAAAATAAATGAGAAGCAGATTACAACACTGGCTTGTGATTATAAATAACCCTTTACTTTGTAGTATTTCTTTTCCATACGTAAACTAAGGAAAAGTATTTTCTATATTTTTTTTCTTTCCAAATGAGATTATTTATTGACTTGCAATGGCACCTCTGCCTTAAACTGGAAGAACTATCCTGGATATATATCCTAAAGAGCTTATAACAAAATTAGTTCTGTAGATGTCAACTTCTTGGTTAAATTACATATGGTATTTCAGATATATGCACTGGTTTTGTAAAACTGTGGTTCATATAAACTGAATAGTGTTTACACTAAGAAACACATGGTTGTTACCAGTTCTCCAATTGTCTTTTCTTTCCATTCCTTTCTTTTCTGTCAGGCCTCCTACTAAACTATGGTGTGTTACTATACATTAAAAAATATAAACTTAAGAGGAAGTGCACATTTAATATATCCAAGAAGAAAATACAGTTTAGGGAAACGCCTTTATGCCAAGCCATGAAGAAGAACAAGATCCCTTCCTTCGTTCCAGACTGAGAAATAAAAAATACACTTTTATGATCCCCCACCACTTTAATGACAACATCTTCCTTACTTCTAATACCAAATCCACTCCAGAATAAACCTTTTTCCCATACAATAGCTCTACTACTCTCTGCAAAGATCTGTTTACAATTTACTAATACTACCATAGAACTGAAACTAAAAGACAATGAAATCAAAAGATAATGAAAAGCTTTTCAGCCTGCAGCTGTTAACAGATAAGAAAATCTGAAATCTTCAGTACAAATTAGATTTTGGTGGAGTAGGAATAATAGCCCAAATATATTAGATAATGATTCAAACTGCAAAGAAGTTGAATACACTAATCTTCTGTTCTTACATTTCTTATACCATAGGTCAAAGAATCATTTCTATATCAAGTGCATAATTTTCTAGGAGACTGCACTGTTTTGAGAGATACCTAATACAAACTGACAGACAAAGATGCTTTGAGCTAGTCCTGCTTTTTGGAGAGGGGAGTGTATTGGTTTTTTTGTTGCATAATGTTGTGGATTTTTTACAGCTGCTAAAGGTCTGAGATAGCTTAATTTCACATTTGCCAAATGACATTCTAGGGAAATGGAAAGAGTCTTACCTACACATTACAGTTTCAGGTAAAGTTCACTTCTGATCTGTTTTCTCCCCTTTCCTTGATTTTCAGTTACAAGCTTTTCCTTCAATAGTTAATATCCAATCGTCACCATAACAATGTTTTTGGTTTGTGAATCCAAATCCAAGGAAGATAACTATCTTTTATAAAAGACTACAATACAACCCAAGAATCTTCAGAAAGTTAAAAATATTTTAAAGTTGTCCTAGTGTCAAAATTATGACTATATTTTACTTTTATAGAATACCTGTACCTTTCAGAATCAAGGAATTTGGAAAACACTATTCATTTGGATTTTATACAGAGAATGAAATGTAGGCCCATCTTCTAATCAAAATCCTTAGGCTTTCTTCAGTTTTGAGTGCTGCAGGTATGAACAATATTCAGAATTTACTTGTGTCGTGGTTTGAGAGGAAGTAAGTTTTCTGGGATATGCTGTGGTCACACCAATGTGTGCTCAGATTTGAATATTGGCACCTGGTGTGGCCACTGGGCACATGGATACGCCTCTGAGAACACAGGGGTTAAAAGCAGAGCACTCGCAGGGGAAGCTCTCTTGGGTTCTGGTGAGGAAAGGGTTCGGATCTCTCCCCCGTCCAGCTGCGGGCTGGGGGGAGCCATGCAGCTTGGTGAGGTAGGCCGGGCGAGGTAGGCCGGGCCTTGGACAGAGATGGGAGGTAAAGAGGCCCCAAGGATGGAAGGGTGGGAGAAGCACCAGGAGGCATCGGGCAGCCACCCAGGAGAGAGGGAGAGAGCACAGCCTGTGCTTGGGACTGTGCTACCTTGAAACTTGATAACATGTGCCGGCAGCACGGCCGAGAAGGACAAGGGGGTGGGGGAAGGAGTGCAGCGAGAAGGTGTCCGGCCACTGTGGGAGTTCCTAAGAAGGCAGAGCCCGAGTTTTTAACCCTTTTTTGGACAATGAAAACTTTGGCAGAACATTGACCTTTCCTAGAAGAGAGATAGAGATGAAATGGAAGAAGGAAATGTGCAAGTGTGAAGGTCTGGGCAAGAGAAAGATGTCAGGAGAGTAGAGAAGAATCTTAGGTGGGAAGAGATGATGGAGTGGCCTTAGCTGGACTCTTCTTGTTATAGCCATGGACAGAACCATGTTTCCTGTGACACAGAGACTGCATTCAGGGGGAGGCAATGGCTCAGAGCCAAGAGAGTTCAGTGTTGAGACCCCTCGGCCCCAGGGGGTGAAATGTGGGGGGGACAGGTGTCCCAAAAGTGAGACTGTGCTCTTTTTGGAACGGGACAAAGCATCCTTAAAAGGATGACCCTAGAAGCAGCTCTGGTCCATGTGCAGTGGTGAGAGCACTGGACACGGAAGGAAGAGGTCACGATGGCAGATGTTCTCTGGGCGGTGCCACGAGTGACATGGAAACACACGAGGCTTCAGCTGTGTTTCCAGGGGAAGCCTATGGCACAAGAGGGACTCCTTTCCTCTTGATGAACTGAGAATTGATTGTCTGAAGGGTGGTGATGGACCGAGAGGTGGTGATTTTGGGGATAGATGTATTGGAAATTTGGTGGGGGGAGGAGGAAATGTTTTTGGAAAGTTTTCATTTTCCCTGTGTGTTTCTTGTTAATTAAGAGTTGTAGTTTAGTTAATAAAGTTTTCGTTATTTCTAAGTGGGGGCCTGCTTTGCTTATTCCTGGTCACATCTCACAGCGGGGCACTGGCATTGTGCCAGTGTCAAACCATGACAACTTGGAATTTAAAACTTGGGTGAAAAATTTCTTTCAGTGTAGAAATATTTCCTAATATTCAGTCTAAACCTGGTGCAACTTGAGACACGATTTCCTCTTGTCCTGTCACTTGGTACCTGGGAGAAGAGGCTGACCTCCCTCTGGCTACAGTCTCCTTTCAGGCAGTTTTAGAGAGGGATAAGGTCTCTCCTGAAAGAGTGTCAAAGGTCTTGCTAAAGTTCAAGTAGTTAACATCCACACTTTCCCTTATCCACTAAGCACATCACCTTAACACAGAGATGAGGCTGGTCAAGCAGCACCTGCTTCTCATACTCCCATGCTGGCTGTGCCTTATCTCCTGGTTGTCCTGCACCTGATGTGTGATGGCAGTCAGGGTGATCTGCTCCATGACCTTCCCTGGCATTGAGGTCAAACTGTGAGACCTGTAGTTCCTCAGATCCTCTTCTGGTTCTTCTTGTAAAAAAAAAAAAAAAAAAAAAAAAAAAAAGGAAAAAAGAAAACTACTCTGCCAGAAATTAATAAGGCTTAGGTTGCAACTTCAGGGAAAAAAACTAACAAGCTGTCAGAGAAACAATGAGGTAGCTTTTTATTTTTCATTTTTGTTTCTCTTTAGGTGATTAACATCAAGAATGTGTTTAAGCCCCACTGACTGACAGTGCAGCCCATTCCTAGGTGTGTTTCTTCTGAACAGATACAGCAAGTGAGGGTGTGGGCTGGAAGAGCTGCCCTGCCCCCACTCATGCAGTGAAAATTGGATAACTTGCTCTAATCCATAGTATGATGTGGAAGTGGAAGGTGTTCCTGTGTATGTTGTTAACTGTGTTTAGTACTCTTTCTGCATTCCCAAAGAAAATATTTGTTAAACACAAAACATTTCTAAGTTTTGGCATGATTTATTGCTCCTAGTACAAAGGCAATTTATGAGCGCACCTCCACTGCCTTCGGAGCAGATTACTGTATGGATCAAGGAGCAGCAGCTCATACACTTGAACATTCAGCAACTGAAATTACCACAAAATGATATCTATATATAGAAGATTGGTTTTAAAATAACATTGACAACAGTAATCACTACCACCTGGACAACAAGGCACCGTTTTAAAATAAGAAGTGATCATAACATACTGCCTGAAAATCAGACCAGTGTTTACAGGTACGTATGTGAAGATATGGGTGTGTAAATTATATCCACAAAGTGGGATCCTCAACTACAGTTTCTCAACTGACAAATGTTGTGTTTTCTCAACTGGGTGATGGCAAGATATTAAAAAAACCACAAATGTAGAGATAACCTCTCTTTTCAGGAAAATACATAAATCCAGTCTTGATAATATTGATCCAAATTGCTATTAATTAAAAGCTACATAGAAGAAAACAAATTTCATGACAAAGCTGTACATAAAAGGTAGAACAATTCACATGTTACAAGTTACAAAGCAGCTTTACGAATGGGACAAAATTATTTTACCAAGATTTTTATATCCAAACCACTTCTGAACCTTTGGCAAGTTTTATTCTTTGTGGAGAATGAGAAATAAAACTAGCCATCCAAGTAGAGTATATGTACTTTGTTTTCATATGCCCAACCTACCGAAGAGCACACAAAACATGCTCCTAAATCTGGCCGTTCTTGAGATATCAAACATGTCACATACATCATTTTAATCCTCCCAAGTGAGTGCAATTTTAGTAGTCACAATTGCAGGAAGTATTAGATTCATGGTCAGATGGTGCTACAGCCTATCATTTTGAATTCAAGATGTCACACAGCTAATAGAATTTAAGTTTAGAAATACAGACCATTTATTTCAAGGTACCAAATCCCTTTCACTCTCAGCATAGAATATATATTTTCAGGATGAATATGTCATTACTGGACTGATGAGATAAATAAAGGCAATAACAAAAGTAATAGGGAAACAAAAAGACATTATTTATTAAATGTAATAAAATAAAATGTCCACAGCTAACTTAAATATATGCAGGGGTTATGTATTTTGCTGTATTTTCTGAAGAAGAAATTCTACTTGTAAATTTAGATTTGGCTGTCCTTTTTTTGTCTTCTTACTCAGTATTTTAAAAGCTTCCATTTTCTTTTTCTTGTACAACCGTTGAGCTTCTTCTCTTTGTTGTTTTCTTTTTTCTGCTTCCTGAAATTAAATAAATATGTAATATTATGAAACAATTACAAACCCTCTGGACTGTGAAGCTATTTATAAGCAATAAAGTTCATTTTTGTATAGGTACTGGCAATTAGGTATTGCACTGCCAATAGAAACGCCATTTCTCTAAAGCTGAATCAGGATGTTCTTGCAGCACATACTGCAATCAGAACAAATTATACAGCCTCAAGCTTCAAGAGAAGAACCAAGCTTTCTTTAGCAGAACATCCTACAATAAGGCTTGCTGCTGCAATGTATACTACTTCCTTTCTGTGAAATGTGCTCCTTGAATACTCTCTTTAAATGACAAACTGGCAAAAAATTGCCCACTTTCTCCTCTTGAGTGCAAGAAAGAAAAAAGTGATGCAGCAGCTGCCATGTGAATATCTTTCCAAACCAGACGTGCTAGGATACAGGACACCTCTGCACGGGACAGGCTGATAGGATATGGGACCTATCAGGACCATGTGTTGGGCAGGTTTGTGATACTAAGACAGCTTTATCTAGGGGAAATTAATCCAGACCAAACTACTAGTGAAAGCAACACAGACTCTGTCTTTACTTTTCAAAGAGATGGAATGAAAACACAAACCTTAATCAAATTTTTACCTGTAAAACCTTTCACAAAGCACACAATGCAACCAAACTACTAATGGAGCATTAAGTATATATGGGTGGGCTATTAACACTATACGGATAATCACCACAATGTTAAATTCAGATTTTATCCAACATCTCACACCCCCTTCTCCAGCATTGTAATTTTACTCAGTAATTTGGGCAAACAACCACAAGCCAGATAAACAGCTTACTTCACTCATATCATGTCGTACCAAAATATGCAAGACATCACAAATCAGACTGAAAGACTGCTTCAGTTCATTTGGATAATTTCTTCTCATACAGTTTATTCTTTGAAATGCAATGCCATGCTGATCCCATAGACAAGCATTTCCGCATAATGCCTGAACAGATGATAATATATGGATCATATTTTTGTTTTCCACAGCATAGATGGCTTTAGTGATGTACAAAAACTAGTAAGAATTGCTCTCTGATATAAAATTTACAGGATATAATTCAAGGAAAGATTTCTAAACAGAAATCTAAGAAGCCTCAGGAAAAAAACTCCAAACATTCAAATAAATATGCATATGCAAAAATATGCACAGATAAACTCTCGTAGATAACCTCTTCAGAATCCTTGACTTATTTTACCATAATGACTAAGACAATTTATTCCCTCTTTTTTAAAAAAAATAGAGCAGCATCAGCTCTAACTTACCTGTAATTCACTTTCTATCTAATAATTTTTCTGTTGTTCAGCATATTCTTGAAAACAACATCCAAGTTAAGCTACCAACCAAATGCTTACTTCAAAGCAAGAACATTCATCTTACTGTCTAGTTGCTATTTACTTTCATATTTTTTCTGATCTTTACTAAATACTAGCTTTTTTTTCATCATGTTCCACCTAAGTACTCCACCTAAATGATTACTGTTATTGAGGCACTTAGCTCATGTTTTGCCTAACTTTCTTTAACAAAAATAAAAATGCCAACACCTGCACTCAGGCAACTCCTATGTGCTGCTCAAAAAGAACTCCCTGCAGTCTTGCTGGGGTTATGCTTATTCCCATCTTCTCTAAATAAGCTGGTCATAAAATTAATTTGACACCATCTGTAGCTAATACACAAAAAAGCAGCCATCAGCTGAATAATCATGTAACTCACCCAGAATCACAGATCAGCTTGCATAAAACTAAATATAGCTGAAAAAGCAGCATCTTTTATACAGCTATATATTCAATATTTATACTGTAGCTACTGAAATTTAGTATGTCATGAGGAAGTTACACAACTTGTACAATGCTACACTGTGTGCCATTTTACAGCACAACGAACACTGTCCTGGGAGAGAAAAAAACTAAATAAGGACCACTCAAATTAATAATTCAAGTGAGCTGATTGAAAATGATGATATTACAATATGTCCTGTAATAATTCCAATAAAATAATTCCAATTAAATTCAAATGAAGGGAATGACTAAAAATTTTAACTGTGAATACTATTAAATTTAATTGTTTCACTGTTGGTCAAAGTTCATAAAAAAGTAAAATGAAGACTGCATTATGATAATGCCATAAGAAACAGGATGGGTATTTCATTTTTCATCATAAGATGATGGTATTGCTATTACTTCCCCTTCTACAAAATTTAAGAGGTCTAATATAATCCACTGGGGTATGCAGATCAAGCTCTAAGCTTTTTTTCATGTACCAACTGACATAATAAAATCCTGCTACGGGCAACTGCAAGATGAAAATAGTAAGAACAAAGAGAATGATCCTTTGAACACCCACGTGCCTGAATACCACTGTCAAGTTGAAAAAGACTGAAAGAGTGAGTTCCAATACCTCCTATGGTCTTCCCTGGGTTCAGATGGAAGACAGGGAGGTGGGAATGGTATTAATCTGGATTTTGTTTAACATCAAGTAAGAACTCTGTTTAAGATTTACCTCTTTCTTTCTAGCACGCTCAGCCTTTATTTTCTCATAGTCTTCTTTTGCCTTCTGATTGGATGTTTTATTTTTAAAATTCTCTTGAGTCCCAACTGACCTGGGGGAAAAAGTACACCTTCTTGAGACACTGAGTACCATCAAGCAGACATAACGACAGCAGAATCACAGCACAGTCTTCCACTGCTTTTTGAACATTCAGGGAAGTTAACTACAAATACACATTTCAGAACACTCATCCTTCTACATTGAATGGATTCTTTGCACTACTCTTACATGATACCAACACCATGCCAGGCCATACACGAGCAGTCAGCAAGAAAACATAACAAAGTGAACTTCTTCAATGCCAAATGTACCAAAGACCAGAGTGCACACAACTGTTAGTAATGCAGACACCTTATCTGCTGCATCTTCACATGGATGATGTTTCCTTAAGCTTAAAGATTGCCCAAAACAGTTTTCCCCATCATTCTAGCTCCTCAGAGCTAGAAAACTTGAACATACTAGCTTAGAGCTGCATTCTCTCTTTCTAGTTCCAACACATGGAAGCAAGTGCAGAGAGATGAGAACATTCATTTAGAAATATTGCTCTCTTACGGAAAAACAATGAAAAATTTTTCCTTTATTCTCACCTCCATCTGCTGGCAATACTGTGCAATGACGCCTCACTGTCTCAAGTACAAAACTGTTACACTGCCATTTATTTTTCTAACAAGCAGGAAATCATATTTAAGACATAACAGCATTTTTAGTAAAGTAAATCACCCCACTAAAGTCCATGTGAACTTTTAAGATCTAAAATATTTCTTTAGTGATGGAAAAAACTACTTTTTCTAAAGACATGCTTTGAAAACTTACTCGACTGCTTTATTAAGCTTTTCTTCTGATGACACTGAATCATCTGGAGTCCTGCGCCGCTTCTTAAGCTTTTCTTCCTCTGCAAGGTAAAGATGTTTCAAGTGCTCTGGATAGGTATCTGTAAACTGATCATCCTGCTGGGAATGCACTTGTCTTCTCTTTTTCAGCAATTTCCTGTACTGCCTTTCAATCTTTTGTTTCCTCCGAAATGCAAATCCTCGTCCTGAAAGCACAAGGAAAAGGCAGTTAAACAAACCTGCACTAAAACAGCACCAAACCTTTCAGGTGTTTGAATGGCAGGACCCTTGCCATCTGTCTTCTTCCCAAACTGAAAAAAGCCACAATTTCAATAAGGACCAGTCATAAGTTCAAGGAAAGAAGCACTATGATTAGGTCGTTCCCTACTGCAGCATTGCAGCTTGCACAGATTTACTGAAAATGACTGCCCAAACCCCGGGAGAGCACTGCAAACACTGCTGCTTAATGCCCGCTCACCACTGCACCTTTGCCAATGCTTTCTGAATCCAGTGAAAAGATGTATTACCATTTCACTTCACTCCTACTTTTGACAGCTTCTAAAGCAATATGAAAATAGATTCTAAAATAAGCTGCTAAAGGCAGTCTCAAGAAAACAGTAGGAATAACTCTGGCAGCAGCAGCAGAAGCGTGCAGCAACTGTGACACAGGAAAAAAAGTCACTAAATCGTCCTATCACTCTACATTAATAATCCACTACATCTTTTCACTTAAATAGTATTTATTGCTACTACTTTCTCTCTACACGTCTAGGAAGAGCTTTTCTACAATGACATCATAGAATAATTTCTGCTTAAAGGAAAGCTCAGACATTGGCTGTTTCATGCTCGACCATTAAAGAAAACTTATCAAAGTTGAAGTTAAAGATGCCTTTTTTCCTAATGCCTTATTTTTTATTGCATTACTCTTAAGATCTACTGACTTTCAAAATATTCACCAACAAAACAGTTTCAAAAAGGAAATCAAATTAGTCCCAACTTTTCCTTTTATTCTTTCTCCAAAGCTGCCACTTCAGCAAAGTGCTGCTTAAGGCCATGCTGTTTTTCCTATTCATTTTTACATCTGCATAACTACCTATCAACAATCTGAACCTTTCCTCAAACATGCTTCTTTTTAAATGTACGCTTATCTATGGAAAAAACTCAAAGCGAGTCCTAAACTCGCCACGCTTCCCAGGGGCTGCAATCCGAGCCCCGGGAGCTCCAGCTCACACAAGCCGCCACAGGCTGCCTCAGCCAGCCCTGCAGCCCCCAGCCCCAAGTCCACGGCCACGAACACCGGGGGCGAGATGGGGCTGCGGGCTCCGCCAGCCCAAACCCCCCGCCAGCCCAAACCCCCCGCCAGCCGGGACGCTCGGGTCGAGCCAGCTCGCAGCTGGGCCAAGGACTCGGGCCTCCTTCGGCGCTCCCTCCGGCACATCGGCGGCCCAGACTCACCCTCCTGGACGCTGCCGACAACGCTGCGCAGCAGGACGGGCCTCCACCGCCGCTTTCGACCGGGCCCGCGGGGCACCGCGCCCGCCTTGGCCGCCGCCGCCGCTGACGACCCAGGCCCATCGCGCTTCGCCGCCGCCATCGCGCTTCTGGCGCCGCGCACTGTGATGACGTCACCGAGCCGCGCCGCGGCGCTGACGGGCCGCGCGCGGGGCCATGTCGCGGCCGTCGCGCGCGCTCCCGGCCCAGCCGCCCCCGGCGGCGGCGGCGCGGGCGCTCCGGCGCGTGGCGCGGTTCGTGGGGCGCGCGCTGCCGCTGTGCCGCGCGCACACCGTGGAGTTCTTCACGCGCGGGCTCTGGGAGCGCCACGTGGCGCCGCGCCCCGACGCCGTGCTCGAGGCGCTGCGCGCGGCCGGGCCGCTGGCGCGCCCCCTGGCGGTGGGCTCGGGCACCGCGGCGGCTCCGTGCGGTGAGTGGGGCCGGCGGGCGTGGGGAGAGGGGGCGCTCGGCCGTGCCGGGGAACGGGACGCGGTCGGACCCGCCCCGCTTCAGGAAGGCCGCAGCCGGCCCGGGAATTCCACTGCCGGGGCTCGCGGTAGTGCCGCTCGTGACGGTCCCACAAATTTCATCCTGTTCGTTTGGAAAGGGAACTCCAAACTGTCGGATTCCTTCACTCTGACTGAGCCCTGAGGAACACAATTAAAATGAAAAAAGCCCAAATCAAACAAAGCGTACAAGAAACCTCCACGAGTGGAAAGATGTAACATTGAAAGTTAAAAAGTGTTGGAACTGGAGATGCAGAGGACAGCTGGAAAAGGCTTAAACGCCGCTTTCCTGTGTGTCTGTAATAGTGTCTGGCACGGGAAGGCAGCTGCTTTATTTCTGACGAGATCTGTTTAAGAAGCACTTCATATTTTTAATGATTTTCACGAAAGTGAAGAGGAAGCCAGCTAGGCTGCTGTGTTGCTGAATGTGCTGCAGTCCAAGTAGGAGGGGAAAGTAGCAGTAATGTTGCTTCAGGCAGGGCACAGAAATGAAGATAAAGCATCTGAAAGCTGTGGTGTTTGGGGGACTGAGCCCAAGCAGAGAGATCACTTTCAAATCCAAGGTGAAATCTCTGACAAAGCACTTAGCTGAGAAAAGCCAGTGTCGTGCCAAAGCATATGGAGTGTAGATAGCTGTCACATTGCATTAGCTCTGAAATGCTACGGTAAATAAATGGCACTCGAGGCAGGAAAGTGTGTGCAGTGTGAGAGGAGGCTCCACAGAAAGTAGCATGTGCTTTTTGGCATAGAAAACAAGCTAAGATAATGATTTGGACTCAGAAAGAGATTGAAGAACTGTGAATTGCTACATCACTAGCAACATTTCTCTGTTGGATCTGAAGACCTCTCAAAATATTAACTGTAAGGCTCATTTTTAAAGGGTTGAATTATTTGGGAAAAATCTCACAGAGTTTATTTGTATATGGAAAAGACACTGGATTATGAATTACCTTGAAGAGCCAGATGGAAACAAGACAGTGGTCTGGTCAGCCAGCAGAAGTGTTGGGAAGCAGCAAGGACAGGCTTAATGTTCTTGACAGGTAATGTCAGAGTCAGAACTGATTCAGAGCAATAGGACATAAAATTGAATGTAAATAGAGGAACAAAACTAATCAGATGCAATCATCTTAAAGAAAACAGTAAAGGAAAATTACTCTGCTCTAACTTGTTTCTATGGGAAAGTCCATGGAATGATTGAAACACCAAAGTGGTGGCCTGTAGAGTAGCATGAGAATCAGGAGGGCAGAGTATTGTTTTGTAGAATTCAAAATTGGATAATAATTTAAAAATCTGCATTCAACATGAACGTTACAGAATCTGATGCAGAGATTACTGTAACAGAAAGAAAATTTATGTCTAAAATATGGCACATCTTTTGAAGAGTATGAAGCTTTCATGCTGTGGCTAAAGTACAACATTTCTTCTTTGGTTTCTGCAGGAATTGTTTCTGCTAATTAAAATAAAAAAGAAAGAACTGCCCCTTTTTTCTGACTTTAAATTCTAGTGTGCTAGTTAACACAATGCACTGTAGCAGAGTGGGCATATACTTGCTGATTTGTTGGTTCATGCTTTACTCATTTGACTGCATGGTATCTGTCCATCCAGTCATATGATGAAAATACTTCATAATAGAATATGAGTTTTTCAGTGAAGATACCTGCAAGCATCTACTTACATTTGCAAATTGATGCACTGCTAGCCTGTATTAAAATTAGGAGGGAGAGAGAGACATGTAGTATCATAGCTTATTCGAGTGCATTAGTGCAACTCAATAACATTAGGGATCAGAAACTGACCATCTTGAAACCCAACATGAACAGAAATTACTCTTCTTGTTCAAAGTCATTTCCTTCTAATAACCATGTGAAGGATAGAACTCTTGTTTTCACTTGTACCCTGCAGAAAAATGTAAGATTGCTTTTTAGGTTCAGAAACTGCTTTGAATACATCAAAAAGCTGACACTTGCCATATTGCATTTTGCTAATCACGTCATTGCTGTAAATCGGACCCAGGCACAGACAAATCTGTGTTTAAGTATTTTCATAATTTACTGTAAATTACTGTTTGTACTGTGATTCCAACTTTGGGGCATGTATTTCTTTCCTCTCAAGATTTGTTTGCAAATGTATACCCTAACTGGTTTAAACACAAGCTAGATTTTCTCTTGTGAGCATCCAGAGTACAAATGTGTCCAAAAACCTAACATTTTTTATATTCATAAATAATGCCAAGTTCACCAACTGCCATTCTGTAGCTTGAAGTTAGGCTTCAGATGCCTTAATGCAGTTGGTTCCTGTTTTTTAGTTATCAAGCTGGGACAAAAATTTAAGTTAGGTGAGTGTTGTTATGGGTGATCTTATATGAGAGCCTGCTAGTTCTGTCATGTTCTTCCACCAGATAACCAAGTTAAGGAGTGTTATAGAACATAGGCATTGCTGCATTGGATTTCAGTTAAGTGAGATTTGTAAGAACAGTAATTATATTTTATGTCAGCTGCTGAGAAAGTGAAAGCACACCTATTTTCTTATCTTTCTGTAATAAATCTTACAGAAGAGACATTGTAAAGCAAAGTTGCCCCTTATTCCTGAAAGCTGCGGTCTTTATTTCTCATCTCTAATATCCTGTTACAATCTTACCCTTCATGAAGACTACACTAACTAAAATTTGTTCAGACAAGGAAGCTGTTTATGGAGAAACGTGGCTTTCTTTTTAGATTTTGTAACAGAGAGGAGTAAGAAGTGCTGTGCAGACAATGAAACCATGTTAATATTTATGCTTTCTTAGATACAAAATTTGTTTGCTGTGCTTGTGCCTTTGTAGTGTCATATAATGAAAATTAACATGGTTTGGGACTGATTTCAGTGGACTGTAATATATGCATGACCTTTTATTGTGGTCATGCAAGGAAATTAAGAGCATTCAAGCTGAGGTCAATCAAACCAGCTGTATCCATTGTCATGCCAGATTCAGGAAAGCCATTGTGCTAGGTATGTACTTCCTCATAATCTACCCATGACACAAAAGACAAACCAGGAGACTTTTTGCAAATTTTTGTAATTGTCTGATTGCTGGACTGGGTGCCATTTATATATTGAAAAGAATTTCAAATATATATAAATCATTAGCAAAACTATGTAGAATTCACAAATAGTTTTAGGTAAAATAGAGAGGAATTAGACAATTCAAAACAATCTCAGAATTAATAAATTATTCATACTAATATGTTTCCCTTAAAAATAGATGTACATTTTTGAAACTCAGTAGTAAGCAATACCAAAATGAGGTATTTCATCATCTAACAAATCCAACAAAATGTGTAGAAATCCAGTTCTACACATTGGAATCTAACTTTTATTCCGACCAACACCTGGTTGGAATAAAAATGAATTTAATTCTCCCAGTATTCATCAGTTACAAAGCAACTTGGGAAGTACCTGAATTGAGTGATTGTAAATCCAAACATTTCATATACTAAGCAACTGCATTCCTTTAAAAAAATCTAGCAGCATATGTTGGCAGGTTGGGCTGACTAGGACGTGTATAATGAGCAAGTCTGTAAACAGAAGAGAAGTGATAATGTTGACTGAATTAGCTTGTCATTTATACTGAAGTAGGTCTGCTGAAACAACAGATTTTGTCACATTTACACTGATTCAACTAAGAGCAAAATTTGACCTCAGTTCTGGAGGGGGAATGCAGCTGAAGAAAAATAATGAGTTTTCCCACTTAGGGAAGCAAGATAAATGGCCAGTTGTGTGTGATACTAAGTATTTATTACCTGTAGTTCTCTGTCAGCAGTATTAGAGAGCTGTTAAGCACTGCTTACAAAAATCTTTTCCTTTTGTTTTATGTGCAGATGATGACATCTTTTCCAGTGCATTTTGTGAAAACTCTGAGAAGCTTATCAATGTACATTTGTTTGCCCTGGCTGCTAAGTATTATTCTTTGTCCAACCTTGGAGTGTGCACCCCATTAGAAGATGTGCTTGAAGCACTGAAAGGAGACAGTGAAGGAGCAACAGGTATATTTTCATTTGTATTTTAATGTTTACTTATTCACTATAGGTCTATACAAGAGTTTTGGTTTTGGAGGGTAGTTTGTTGTTTGAGGATTTTTCCTACATGATCCTCACTTCCATTTTCATTTGTTCTTGGATAGTTTCCTTATTGTCTCTGTTTACTAAATGGATTCTCTTGCTAAAATTTGAGCATTTGGTGTCTATAGACCTCATCATGGGATTCAGTTTTAAAGGGGATGGGACAGAGAAGAGGGCACATCACTATATGAGATACCTTGTTAATTCTCTTTTTTTGTCTTGTCCCCAAGTGGCAAGAATCATAGTTTCTACTCATGCTTGTCTCAGAAGTATCACCCTAAAATATGGCAAATATATGATGTCTTAGAAAAAAAGATTTTATTAATTCTGTATTTTTGGGACTAATACCAATTATATGTGATAAAAGAAGAGTAATTTCATTTTCTGTAGTTAAAGAAATTGAATTAAAAGACTCTTAAATTGGCATCAAGTTGGACACTGGGAATCTTACCCTGCTTATAATTTTTGAATCAGATGATAAACTGACATTTGTCCTTATTT